TAGTGAGGCGATATTATCAATAATGGGGGTGTATTTTCTATAATGGGGGTGTTATCGATATTGTGGTGTATTATCTATACTATCTATATTATCTATAATGAGAGGTATTATCTATAATGAGAGGATATTATCAATAATGGGGGGGTATTATCCATAATGGGTGGTATCATGTACAATTGGTGGTATTATATATAATAGGGGAGTATTATTTATAATGAGTGAATATTATCTGTAATAGGGGGTGTTATCAATCTTGGGGTGTATTATCTATAATATCTATATTATCTATAATGAGGGGGTATTAACTATAATTGGGGGGTAATATCTATTATGGGATATTATCCTTAATTTGGGGTATTATCAATAATGTGGGGTATTATATATAATTAGGGCATTATCTATAATAGAGTTTTATATATAATGGGGGGATATTATCTACAATAGGGGGCATTATTGATAATGGGGATATTATCTATACTAGGGGGTTTTATCTATAATGGGTGGTATTATCTATAATAAAGGGTATTATCTATTATGAGGGGTATTATAAAAAATAGAGGGTATTAACTATAATGGGGGCATAATCTATAATGAGGGTATTGATAATAGGGGGTATTAGCGATACTGGGAGGTATTATCTATAATAAGTGGTTATATATATAATGGAGTATTATCTATACGAAGATTTTATATATAACGTTAGTGTATTATCGATAATGGGAGGGTATTATCAATAATTATGGGTATTATCAATAATAGGTGCAGGGCCTGACTGGGAAAAAAAATTCGGCCCGGTAATTTTTTAATCACAGTGGCCCACTGAGAAGGGGGCGGGGCAAGAGGGTGTGTATTTTGTCATCACCAATGGTGAGCATGTTGGTTCAATGTTCATCCAGGGCAGACCATGTGTAGAACTCTGCTGAAGAGCTCTAGCAAGAGAAAAAGGCCCTGTATTTGTTCTGCACAGCGCAAGCATTTTTATTAACATGCTTGCACTGCATTTGCTTGTAACTTGTCTCTGGTGTCTCCATAAGTGGTATATCAGGAGACAAAAAGGCCAGGAAAGAGTATTGTGCATGTGTTTGGAGCCTGCTTGTGGGATTGTGTGTGTGTAGAGTCAGCTGATGGGGTGTGATGTTATGTAAATAGGTCGGTTTCACTTGTGTTGTGTTTGTGGGGTAATGTGTGGCTAGGTGCTGTAGAGAGTGAGAGAGTGTGTATAGGGAGCATAGTGTGTATAGAGGTTGTAGAGTGTGTGTGTTTACGGAATATAGTATGTGTTTGCTTGCAAGGAATCTAGTGTGTGCACAGGGGATCCAGAGTTTGTGTGTCAGGAATGTAGTGTGTGTGTGTGTGAAGGGGATCTATTGTGTGTGTGTGCATAGATGATTCAGAGTGTATATAGGGACTCAATGTGTGTGTGGGTGCTGTGTGTGTAAATATGTTTGGAGGTTTTGTGTGTTTGTGTGGATTGGAGATAGATTATTGTAACTATATATTTTTTATTTTAATTAAAAAATCACTGTATTTTTTCTAATGGGAGGTATTACCTGTATGAACCCTGAAGTGGTAGCTATGGGTTCGTATGATTTGAGCCGAACGGCGGAGAGCCAGAGTGATTATAGCTCGCCATTTGGTTCTTCTGGTCGTTAGTTAAAGTCTAAAGAAATGAAATCCTCTAGTACAGCTTTCCCCAAGTAGTAATCAGGTACCCAAACACCAGCCGAAACATGATGAAGGGTGTAACAAGACTGATTTTTATTGAGACCACACAGGCTTTTATGAAGGTCCCTTTGCAGGAGGACCTCCCACAGTACACAAACCAAATAGCCAATTATAAGGTCTCCGCCTGTGAGATAATGAGATAAGTTAAGGAATAACTCAATTATTTCCAGGTGAAGTGCGCACATTTTCCCCAAAATGCAGAAAACCCCTTTATGATTAAGGTATCCCCACAAATGTCATATCTCCTGATAGCCCCGATCTGGGGGAACAACATATTCAAATTTCACCCAGATCGTTTCAGGGGTTCTTAAAAAATGTGGAAGTCTTAAGTTACCGACCGCACACAAAGCTCTTGCCTAAAATAGTTCCACGAATCCAGTGTGTGTGGTCGGTCAATTCTGAAAAAGTCAAATAACTCTATAATCCACGAATGGAGCCTCCTGGCTCATAGGAGCGATTGTTCCCCTCATATGAATGCATCAAAGTACCTAAAAGCGATCTCCTAGCTGTTCGGGAAATAAAGTTCCATCGTTCGTATGTTTGAGACCGGTGTTCGGGAAGTCGAGTGTCCGATTTTAGTTCCAGACACTCGCGACCAAGTCCCGCTGCCTTTGTCCCGAACAAACAAGATGGCCGCCGTTTTCTCTGCCACGTGGCATTCGTATATACGAATGGCGGCCACCCTGAGAGAGCACTTAATTGACAGGCTCCTTTGAAGTCAATGAGCCAGGAGGGTAGTCGGTGTTCGGTAGTTTCAATATACTGAACCAAGGTGGCATAAAATAAACGAATAAACCAAATAGCCGAATGCTCAGAGAAAACCCAGAAATCCCATCCTATGGGTGGTATTATATATACTGATGAGCAGGGGTGTACCTAGAGCATTCGGCACCTGTGGCAGGTCCTATTTTGCCCCCCCATCTTTAAAATGTAAAAAACTTAACTTGGCGAGATTATGAGATGTATGCACATATACACATATATACACACTGACACACCTGCAGATACAAATAAACACATGCAGATGCATAGACAAACAGTCACACAAATGCAGACACAGTGGCGACTCTTGGAACAATATATGGGGGGGCACATAAGAAACCACAGTCAAAACTGGGGGGGGAGGGGGCACTAAAAAGTTTTACTAGGGGATGGGGTAATGTGCTACCATTGGCTGTCTGACGCCAGCATGCTTTGCGGGCTGGCATCAGACAACAAATTTGCATAGAATTCAGATTAGCCACTCAGATTTCTTGTTCTGAGCTGGCTGACACCTCTTAACTTCGATCTTTGTTTAGCAGATAACTCCCCTATTTGATATCCTTATGTGGGATTGCCATAGTTAAGGACACCAAATAAGGGGGGTATCTGCTAAACAACACCCTAATTTGATATCTTTAAATATGGAAATCTCACATAAGGGCATCAATTTACGGAATTATCTACTAAACAGCTAAATGATAAAAAGTAAAAAAGCCCTTTTATTAATTTTGATCTTTCAATTGTTTAGTAGATAACTCCCTGCTGGCCCTGCCAGCGATGCTAAAGACACATGCTCTTTGAGTGGCCCTAAGTGCACGGGAGGTATTATCTATTATAGGGGTATTATGTATAATAGGAGGTATTATTTATTATAATGGGTATTATCTATAATGGGTGGTATTATATATAATGTTTTTCAATTATATTGATTATAGTGGGTATTATCTATAATGGGTGGTATTATCTATGATAGGGGTTATTATCTATGATGGGTGGTATTATCTTCAATAGGGGGTATTGTAGATAATGGGGGGTCTATTCTATAATGGATGGTAGGAACACCGCTGCCTGTGTTCATGTGAATAAGAGGGCCGCCACCTCGTGGTCGTTCAAACGAACTGCGTCCACCCAGACGAACAATTAGAACACTGTGGTTAGAATTGTTAAGAGATGATGATAGGGCTTAACAAGATCCCGGGTGGTCCATAGTTCGTGCATCTGTTCGGTTCCTGAACAGCATGGGAAAATGACATGAACTAGGTCTTTTCCTATGGCTTTTACAGGGCCCATAGTCCTGGGGCAAGAGGCTATTAAGCAGTCTCCTCCAGGAGCCTGTGGCAAGGTTACTTTCGCCACAGATATTTTACTCTATCAGTAGCTGCAAGAAGAGCCTTATGGTTGAGTTAATGGGGTGTTGATACCCCATACCCTTTGAGGGGGATTTACTATTTGGAATAGCACTTGAAAAATCCATCAAAAAGGCAGCAGAAGGCCATAAGGTATTTCTGCCACAGGATAAGAGGACAAAAAAACCTCAAACACTTTATAGGCAGACAAGCGATCCCCCAGGGATCATTACTTTAGCAATACTCAGACCTACTGACCAAGTAGAGAACTCAACAGAAGAAATCCATGCTGTGGTGGTCAATCATCCTTCCCACGTTCAAACAGAGCTAGAAATCAGTCCTTTCGTTCAGGAGGCAAGAGCTTCTGACTATCCACTGGAAGTAGGAGCCCAGCTTTCTCTATTCCAAAGCATGTGGACACAAAACCTCCATGATTAAAAGTGGATACAGACTGGAATCCCTCCAAAGACCAAGGGGAAATCTCTTCATACCTACATGTATTCTAAGAGACAAACTCAAGACCAGAGCACTGCAGGAATATGTGGGGAATCTTCTGGTTCAGAAGGTTATCACTCGCATACCAAGGGAAGAACACTTCCAGGGGCATTAATCTCCACTTGTTTTAATTCGGAAAACAAAAGACAAATGAAGGGCCATTCTAGACCTAAGGAGGGTCAACAGAAAGTTACAAGTCTGATCCTCCAGAATGGAGTCCATCAAATCCATCTGTCCAGCAATCCGAAGAAACAGTTTTCTAGTGTCCATCGATCTAAAAGATGTGTACTACCACATCCCAATAGCCAAAGAACACCATCGGTTTCTCAGATTTGCAATAGGAAAGGATCACTTTTGTCATAGATCAAATATCGATCCTTGTTATATTCAGGGGACCCCAACTTGTATCAAGTGCACTTGGAGAAGCGTTAATCAGACACCAGACATGCGTGTTGGTTATCAAAATAAGCCTCTGCCGGGGGCGGGGCCTGACCGCCGGCGGGATCAGACGTGCTCTGTCTGAGCTCCCACTCCAGGGTCCAAAAATCGGACTGGAGGCCAACCGTGAATATTGACCCACGACAGTGACCACACTGACCCCCAGCCACTGGGGTACGCAGGGATACTGCCCAAGCACCAACAGCAACCCGCTAGAGCTTGAGCCGGGACGAGATGGCCGCTCTCCTGAGTCTCCGGCCGGCGTCTCGCACACCTCCACCCCCCTGGACTGGGGGGGGGACCTCCCGGTCTGCAAGGGTGCCAACCATAACAGACGCGCAATATCCACCGGACAGCGCCTCACTGGAGGGCCCGAAGATGGCTGCCGCGCGCAAGCCATGCACGCGAACGGCCAGTTTGACTGAGAGGTTCAAACCTGGGCAAAGAGCCAACAGGGACTTAGCTCCAAAGCATCGACGGATGCACCAAGAGGCCCCACAGCAACCGACGAAACACTCACCTCCCAGGCGGACTCCCACCCAGCAGCAGCAGCCCGGTGCTCTGGCAATACGGAAGGCCCCAAAATGGCGGAGAGTAAATCGGCGTCCACCGCACCAGCAGCGGGCACCATGTGAATGGACGTTACCGATTCTTAAGCCTGCCGACACCTGTGAAAGTGGAGGTGATATCGACCCTGGTGAGTGGCTTTGCCCTACTGCCCACTCTGAAGCATAGGAGCCCAAGACAACGCCCCACCATACCAGCGCCGGTCCTAGTTAACATGGCAAAACCAACGAGACAACTTCTCAGCCGCCCCCCAAAACCGAACGGAGATGGGCACTAACCCACCGAGCGAGAGAACCATGGATTGACAAACTACCGCCAAGCTGGACAGAACACACAGGGCGCCGGCTGAAAGGAAATAGACCAGAGGACGTGTGGAGCTGAGGCCATGCCTAAAAATTCCACCACCTCACGGGACACTGTAACAATCCACAGAACAGGACTCTGATTCCCACATTCAGCGAGTATACAGCTCATATGTTTTATTGCATTTTTCTTTTGTTTCTTTTTATCTACACTGTTATGCTGGTCATCCCTCGTGACACACACTGACTTAGAAAATGTGCAGTTAACTCTAATGTCATGCCTATGATAAACCATGTCTTCCTAAGCTTACTGTTGTCACCGTAACACTGCGAGCTTGTCTGTTAGAAAATGCACAGAATGGGTGTCCATAAGTAGCTCTTCTAGGGCCTGGGAAGTTTCATTTAAACCCTTTCAAGGGAACAGGCTACAGCATTAATTGGTCTTGCATTAGAGGTTGCTACGCCTGGAACCCCCACTAAAGATACGGCCAGGGATATATATTCAGCTTGGGACAGTAACCTGACTCTGGAGTCACAGTCAGGGGTAAGAGTATCTTTTCTGTCTCTCCTGCTCCGGTTGGGCCTGCTTAACTTGATGGTTTTAAAAGCCAGGTCAGATTTAGAAAACAAAGTCATGGGTAGATGTGCGAGGGTGCAGGGGCCACCTGTTATATTACCTGTTCAATACACATAGGTAATATTCCCGCATGAGAAAACTCATCCTAGAGGAAGCTGCATATTTTTGTGGTAGCTGTATGTTAGGTGCGGGCCTTTACATGTAGTAATATTTAGACTGTTTTGTGTAACATTATGTTTGGGTGAATTATAATTTTTATACTATGTATCGTTATAATTTTTAAAATAGTACTATCGCAGATCATATTGTTAGTAATTTGTGCTATTCCTTTTTGGTGGGCAAAAATCATATGATAGGGACTTGCCTTGTTGTTTTGTCAATGGTGGTTGACAGCCTCAGGTAAAATACCAACATATTTCTGCAATAGTCACATTGAGTGTACAAAGAGTTAGCCGGGGGGTACCCTTTAATGGTTTCAAAGTACATAAGTATATTTCCCACTCTGGAGTATATTTAAAATCTGGCTGCATGTTATGAGTGGTGGTTTCCCGGGCATCTAGGAAATCAAGGGCTATACCATCTGCATTTTTAAACCATTAATCTATAAGCATGGGGACAGGTTTGGGTATGGACACCAGACATGATTCTATAGCATTTTAAGTGCTGTGTAGCAGGTTGAGGCAAAAGGAAGTTAGATTAAAAGTTCTTGCTTTTTGTAATATGTTACCTGCCATGCATTATTATTTTCAGGCCTTAGAGAGAGGCAACACAATGTGATATAACTGCAAATGGTGAAGGATATAAACAGCTTCATGATGGTGGATCTGTTGGGGTAACAAGTTTACAATGGCTGGTGTGTATCCATGTTGGTTTGCCTTCCAATTTCACTAAGGTAGCAGTAGTCAGGAGCACTTGGAATGGACCGTCAAAGCGTTGTTCAAGTCCTTTCCTCACATGCCTCTGTCAGGGATCCGCGGGCGGCTAGGAGGGGAGGCTGCACGCCACTTGCAGCACTCACCCTCAGTCCATCGCCGCCCGCGGTCTCCCCTCTGCTTACCTGTCGGCGAGCGGCGTCTCCTCTGTGCCGCTCTCCGCCAGCGTCCTCCATGCCCCCCAGCGGCAGCATGTATAACGCTGCACGCTGGGAGGTCAATGAATTAAGTAAACGCCAGGGTCACGTGAGTGACCCGGCGTTAAAGAAACAGTACCACAATCACAGTGGGAGGTATAGATATCCCCCATGTGTGATTGTTAATTCTGATTGGAAGTTATCCAATCAGAATTAAACCAAGGGTATTCCTGTCTCTCAGTGCCCTGTTGTGGTCTTGTGATACCTGTAGCGTAGTGTTCTCGTCTTGCTCTCTGGTTACTGATTATTTGGCTTGTTATTCCGATTATCTGTCTTCTCCACTCCTTTGACCTCGGCTTGTTTCTCGTTCTCCCGTTTTCTGGTTCCCTTTACTTGGCTTGTCTCCTAACTACTCTTAGCGTGCTTAGCCCGGCCACTCTAAGGTCTGGTACGGCACATTTTCTGTGTGTGTGTGTGCCAGCGTGTTGGGTTCCCCGAATCGTGACATTACAACAGGGCCACCATGGAACCTGCTGACATTCCACAGCTGTTAGTAAATCAGGAGGCTAGAATGGATGGTTTAGACCACCGTATGGATCAGTTTGCCCAGGCTTTACAAACCATACTGGCTCGTACTGCCCACTTGCAACCTGCCGTCCAAGAAGCTGTTGCTGCTGTGCCAGAACCCATTCCTGATCCAGTACCCGCTCCTGCTCACGTGGTTCACATGACGCCACCTCAGCGCTATAGCGGTGATCCAGCATTGTGCCGTGGTTTCCTCAACCAAATTGATATTCATTTGGTGATGAATCCTCGTTCCTACCCCACTGACAGGACCAAAATTTCTTTTTTGATTAACCATTTGTCCGGGAAAGCTCTAGCATGGGCTAATCCCAATTGGGAGAATACGTCCCCAATGTCCTTTTCAGACTTCTTAACAGCTTTTAAACGTACGTTTGACCAACCCGGCCGGGTTGCTTCTGCTGGCAAAGCTCTGCTTAGGGTTCGACAGGGTAATAGGTCTGTAGCGGATTATACCATTGAATTCCGCACTCTGGCAGCTGAAGTGGTCTGGAATAACGACGCTCTCGTAACAGCTTTTCAGGAGGGTTTGGCCGCTTACATATTAGATGAAATAGCATCCAGGGAAATGTCTGTTCTTCTGGATGATTTAATAGATTATGTCATTCTAATTGACCACTGTATCAGAGAGAGGCGTAGTCAAAGAAAGATGAATACACAGGGGTTACCTGCTTTACCCAGTACTGCATTGCTAGCATTACCTCCTCCTAATCAACCACCTCTCGAACCCATGCAATTAGGTGCTGTAGGCTTATCTGAAGCTGAAAGAACGTACCGCAGAAGGGAGGGTTTGTGCCTTTATTGTGGTAAGAGGGGGCATCTCCGAAGAAACTGTCCTAGTTTGCAGGGAAACTCCAGCACCTAAGGCCTAGAGAGGGGTCGGCCTCGGGTGTTATGGTTTTTTCCCCTCATATGTCCATCTCTAGACCATTTATAATGGTTTCTCTTTTGGTCAATAAAACCACGATAACAACTAAAGCCTTGATCGATTCAGGTGCTGCAGACAGCTTTATGGATGAGAACTTTGCTAAAACTGCAGCCTTGAATTTGATCCAAAAGGCCACACCCTTGGCCATTGAGGCCATAGATGGTAGACCACTTGATAAACCTCTGGTGACCCATGAAACCCAAGAAATGGTTATGGTCGTGGGTGCCTTACACAAAGAAAGGATAGCCTTCCAAATAATTGACTCCCCTACAGCTTCCATCATTCTGGGTTTTCCCTGGTTAGTTAAGCATAACCCGGTACTCAATTGGGATTCTCTAGATATACTCTCCTTGTCAACAAGACTGTATGGCCCGTTTACATCCCGTTTGTTTACTTAATGTGCCTACAGCTAAACCACTTTCTGTTTCTGTCCCTCCTGTGTATGCAGACCTCGCATTGGTCTTTGAAAAGAGGGAAGCTGATAAACTACCCCCACACCGGGATTATGATTGTGCCATAAATTTGTTACCTGGAACGATGCATCCTAGGGGTAAGGTCTACCCGCTTTCTGAGAAAGAAAACCAGGTCATGGAGGAGTACATACAGGAATCCTTACGTAAAGGTTTTATCAGAAGGTCCTCCTCTCTGGCTGGTGCTGGTTTCTTTTTTGTTGCCAAGAAGGAGGGCGATTTGAGACCATGTATAGACTATAGGGGCCTGAATAATATAACAATTAAAAATGCTTATCCTATCCCTCTCATTGCTGAGTTGTTTGACCGTGTTAAAGGTTCTAGATATTTTACTAAACTAGACCTCAGGGGGGCTTACAACTTGGTTCGGATAAAAGAAAATGATGAATGGAAGACAGCGTTCAATACACGCAGTGGGCATTACGAGTATCTAGTCATGCCTTTTGGACTGTGTAATGCTCCTGCTGTCTTTCAGGACTTCATAAATGATGTCCTTAGAGATCTACTGCATGTCTGTGCTGTGGTTTATCTCGATGATATACTCATATTCTCTCCTGATTTGGAGTCACATCATGCCCATGTGAGGAAGGTACTTAAGAGATTGCTACAGAACGGTCTTTATTGTAAATTGGAGAAATGTTTATTTGACCAGAAATCAGTACAATTCCTAGGGTACATCATTTCTGAACAGGGGTTCAGTATGGATCCTTCTAAATTAGAAGCCATATTGTCTTGGCCTCTCC